CCGGCCGGCCCTCCGGCGGCGGCGATGCGGGGAGGGCGGCGGAGGGAGGTGCTAGCGCCGGCGGCTGGGATTCCCCCGTGTCGCCAGAGGAGGCCGACCGCGGGGGGGTGGGGGGGGGGGGCATCTCTCTCTCGCTCGCTCATCCCAAATTCTGGACCTACCTACCTCTGTTGAATCCGTGAGATAGATCCTTGCAAGGGCCTCTCATGAAACCCCGATAATAATGCTGCCCTGAAGATTAATTGTCTTTATGCGTCCCTTTCCGCTCTAGTTTCAGTACACTGATCACTGCCGTTTCTGTACATGCAGCGAAGTCTGCTAGTTATATTGCTGTGAATCCTTGTTCTGAATTCGCAACGCGGAGGCACCTCACAATCAGGGCATACCGTCCTTGCAGCAATGCAGCTAGCTTGCACCCGTAACGTATGGTATACAAGCAGGCACACGATCCGACCAAGCTAGCACCGATAGCCGTCATCCATGTCAACGACACCTTGGTTGGCCTTGCCGCACTCGGTCGACCCACTCTTGCCGTAGACGTCGACGGGCTCGGTGAGGGCGTGCGCCCTGGTGTAGTGGGCCTCCTGGCAGACGGCCTCGGCGACCCTCATCTTGAGGTGGATGGCGCACTAGACGCTGTCGGAGTGGTCGGAGAAGGGTGTCCTTGACCTGAATCGGTTCTCTGTAGAATTCGGCACTTGTACAGGTTCAGTTTAATTCAAATGAAGTGGCCGTTTCGGCGCCAAGACTCGTCCACCGTGCATCTGAAATCCAACGTCTCAGCATACTCGCAAGTTGAAGAGAGCGCTCCGAGCTGGAGTACCTTTCTTCCGTAGAGAATAGAGATGTTCAATGGATGCTTCGGCTCTGCTGGGCACAAAAACCTTTTTTTTTCTCAAACTTGTTTGGATTGCTGGACCTATGCGTCTAGTTTTCGATGGCCAGCTCCCGCATCCATGTCCGCGGACTGGTCCCTGTCTGCGGACTGATGCGGTGTCCGGTTTGTGGGTCAGCATTAAAGATGTCCTTAAACTCTCTAACATTCTTTTGGTAATTCGGGCGTCCAATATTGTTTTTGCTATTTCCTAGTAATAATTAGGTATGTTTATATTCTTGGAAGCAGACGTTTATATTTTATATTTTGATAACTCATAATTACAAGAAAGGTATGGTTATCGACCTAGCAAGTTATCTCTTAGCATTTCTGCAACGAAGTCAAAAGTGATTTCAGATTTCATTTAGTATTATTCATCATTACTACAAATCCATAATTTGAAAATTTCATATTCAAATTCAAACACAACATATGTTTCAAATGACTAATACAAATCGAACATGATGGATGGAACATAATGAAACTACTGTCCACGTAGATGTCACATATGCTGAAAGATTTAATCCTCAGGAAGTCACCATCACCCTAATGAAATTCATTGTCCTCCTCCATGGCAATGAATCTTAAAAATATTCTTTTCTGAGGTGAGTTCATCTAGAAAAAATGAAGTGCCAGTGTCATTGAACATCATCATGATTTTGATCAAGTAGCAATGTCATTGAACATCATCAAATTGCATGAAAAGAAACAGAACAAAATTACATTGCACACAAATTTTCAAACACGATGCAGGTTTCATTTGCGCCGCCGATTGGAGAACCACTAAGGGGAGGTAGCCGGCGTGGGGAGAATGAGCAGTATCGTACCTCATGCGGGCCGTGCTAGGCATCAAGCCGACCGCACCGGATATCACAACATCGACCTTGGGCTGCGTGGCTCCGACATGGTGTGGGGAGGAGGGAGGAGGGAGGTGTAGAGGTTGTTCACAACGACCAGCAGTGGATAGCCCAACAATGCCAGACAGACGAAGGCGACTAACACCAAGCTACTCGAGGCGATAGCTATGGAGAAGGGCGACATAGGGAGGTTGCTAACACGGGGATGTTCCGAGGTACAATGAGGAGTTGCAAAGGTTGGTTGCATGACCCAGGGAGGCATGCGATGGCAGGGGGTGACATGCGGTGACCGAGGATGCAAGGACAAAACAGAAGGGGGAAGCTGTACAAAGCTTCTGTCCCATTTTGATCAAGTAAACATCATGATTTTGATCAAGCAACAATGTTGCTAAACATCTCATTTTGATCAAGTAGCAATGTCATTGCACATCATCAATTTGCATGAAAAGAAAGAAAACAAAAATACATTGCACACAAATTGTCAAACACCATGCATGTTCAATGGTGCTGCCCGCCGAGCACAATAAGGAGGTAGCCAAAGTGAAGAGATTCTAAGTAGCGAAGAATCATGTGTTGGCTATGCTAGACGCCTAATAGACAACATCGAACCTCACGACGTCGACCATTGTCCGCATGGCTTCCACATGGTGTGGGAAGGAGGGAGGTGCGGAGGTGGCTCGCAAAGACCAGTGAATGATTCTTGGAGGCACGAAGATAGCTCAGGAGCGCCAGACGAGGGAAGGATGCCGACAACAAACTACCCAGGGATGATGGCCATGGCGCGTCGAAGGGCGTCAAAGGGAGGTTACCGACGTGTGCAGGGGTTGAGGTGTCGAGAGGAGGCACAGATAGAGGTTGCCGACACAGGCAGGGGTTGAGGTGCCAGGAGGAGCAGCAGAGGAAGGTTGCACGGCCCGAGTAGGCATGCAGTGGCAAGAGATGACGGAGGGTGGCTAATGGCAGAAGTATAGCACAGAAACTTCCGTCCCATCACAACTCCAAAATTTTAAGGACCCTAAAAGTATAGGGATAATGTATGCCATCAAAAATCTTCTAGAAAATATATTGTTCCTATATTATTGACAATTTTAGGGCATGGAATAGGCTAATAATAATCGCCGCGCGCAACTGGCTCCTAGGTGTCGGCAACGTTTATATGTGAGAAGAGTGCTAACTCCGTATCACGCATTAAAAAAAACTCAATAACTCCGTATAACACAATTACAGACGATGAAGTGGCACATGATTATTACTATTTTTTTTTTTTTTAGAATTGACATTAGATCAAGCTTAACAAACACCAGCAGACAATGCACATTCTTACAGGAATAGAGGCATTCAGGCAGGGCGGCAGCAACAGAGCACACCACACACGACTAGAAGCAAGCCGCGAACTGCGAATCCAGTAGCGAGCCGAGGAGCAAGCACGCTCACGCCGAATCAGTCGCGCCTCGCCGGATCTGATGGTGGTCCTCGTCCTCGCCGCTGCCTCGCTTCGGCAGTGCCGGGCGGCTTAGGGCTTGAGGCAAGCCAGGGCAGAGCAATGCTGGCCTCCGTTCCGCGCCTCAAGAGGGAGCTGGCGTGCTGGGGAAGGGTGGAGGGAGCGGCTCGCCGGGCCAGGGAAGAAGGAGCGGCGCTGCCGACCACGGCCGCCTCCGCCGCCGCCACGCGTCTGTGCGGAGAAAGGATGGAGAGGTCCTACGGGCCCGCGCGGGGTTATGGCCCGGGCCGAGAGGTCGGCCCACAAGCCCACCTTGCGCCCAAGGCCCGGTACTGCGACGGTTTCAGGTACCTTGAAATACCCCGCCTTGGCGCCCAACGGCTTTTCCCTCCCCTTTCCTCCTCCTCGCCGGAGCCCCAAGAAACCAAGAACCCACCGTCCCCACCTCCGTCTCGCCCCCCCACCTCTCTCTCCACCGCGTAGCGCCCGCCGCCTATGCTCTCCGGCGGTCCAGCGCCGGCGGCGACCGATGGATCGGTTCCACGACGGCCAGCACGTGCGGCTGCGGAGCCGCGTGATCGGCAAGTACCTCCACGCTGACGACGACGTCCAGGGCGTCTCCCTCCGCGCGCGCCGCGCCTCGATGAACCAGGCGTGGACGGTGCACATCTACAACGGCAACGGCGTGTACCTGCTCCTCTACAGCGCCACCTACGGCCGCTACCTCGCCACCACGGCCACGCGGGCGCCGCGCGGCCACCGCGGCTTCCGCGCCGGGCAGCGCGACTACGACCAGACGGAGGTGCAGGCCATCATGTGGCGGGCCGTCAGGTCAGGCTTCGGGGACGACGTCCTCCTCCGCGACGCCGGCGGCCGCTACCTCCGCGCCAACGGCAAGTACCGCCCCTGGAACACCGGCGTCACCGTCGTAGCCAGCGACAACGTCAGCGCCATGATGTACTGGACCGTCGAGCCCATCCCCGCCAGAGACGGCACGCCTGGCCTTCCAGGCCCGATTCAGGTGAGCTCGCCTCGCCATGACCCGCTTCTTGACAACTCTCGAATTGCTTCCAGCGGCGCCTATCGACTGAGCGAATTGGGTTCTTGGGTATCGCAGTTCAACTGCAGGGATTGCGAGTTGTGTTAATCCCATTCTTCCAAATTTGGGTGCAGTTCTTGCCGTTGGTTGCGTTTGTGTTTTCCATCAGAAAATTCAGAGTACTAGTGAGCATAACAATGGTTCTTTGCTACCAAACTGCAGAGCCCCCCTCCGACGATTTTCTGGCGCGAGCCGGTGATGTGGCGGCAGATCCGGTACATGGTGTCGGAGCCTGACGGCCCCGTCTACACCCAGTACTGCTGGTCCACGTTCCAGTTCAGGGGGAGGTCCGTGTTCCACCTGAGGAACGAGCTGGCCAGGCACACCCGCTTCGTCCTGGAAGGCCGTCGACCCTTCGACCTCGTAATGTGCGTCCAAGCCGGCCGCCACGGGCGTCTGACCCCGCTCTTCGTCGACCTGCCCCGCGGCGACCTCTTACGGACCTTCTGGATTGTCGTGTTCCTCTCCGGGACCCCAGGTGAGAGCCACTTTCCATGTCCCAACTTCTTAATGATCTCCTAATGATCTTTGAGTTTGTATTTTATTGGGGGTGTTAATCTGCTTGTGCCTGAACCAGTTTGCTGAAACTGTTATAGTCAGAGAAACAGTTTACTGAAATTACTGTAGTATGAAAAATAGTTAACTGAAACTGTTAGGATGTAAATGTCTGAAACTATCGTAGTCTTGTAGATAACTGCTGTAGGGACAGATCATTTGATAACATGTTTGCACACAACCTTGATATGGAAAGTGTTGGTTTCGTACTACTCACAATCAGCAAATCGTTTCAGTAAAAACAATTGTGTGTAAAAATTATGGAACTTAAAAGGCCAAATCAGTTGATTAATCTCTTTTCAGCCTTAACAGGCCAAATTATGGGACTTAAAATTATGTAAAGCTTGATGGAGTTATCCGTTCTATTTAGACCATTTTTACTTGGGTTGGATTAACCTGCAAACAAATTTCAAGTTCCTATACAATACTAAATTAAATCTAGTTTCTGCACACCATATTATTTTCTGGTTTTGCACATGAGATGTATTCTCGGTCTTGTTGTTTTTCTTACTCCATATTGTTTTGTAAAACTCTGAGATTTGGATTTGTTGATCTGCTTCCTACTGATGATATCCTTTGGCAACAAACGTGCTGGTGGTCTTGAAATCTGTTGATGCAAAATGCACAGATGTTGGTGTAGAGACTATTTGCTGCATGAACATGATATCTGGAGTCTTACTTTAGTGGAGTGCTAATCTGATCATGCTTGGAAAAAGGATTTTATGATAGGTTTTGTTAGGATTTTGGAACTCGTCTGAAAATTAGAAGTAGTTGAATGTAAGTAGTAAATGCCATGTGGACTTATCAGTGTGTGGACACATGGCAAAAGATGGTCTGAAGCTAGTAAAAACTACTGGTTCCGCATTTCTGTTATTGATTCAGATAATTCAGTTCGTCCATTTCGCAACATTTGCTGCTAGTAGAAATTATGGAACCTAAAAGGCCTGTCATTTTGTAACATTTGCTGTGTAGTTCCTTGCACATTATATAGTTTCAGGTTTTGCCTTTTTGACCTTGTTATAGGTTTTCAGTTTTGTTGTCTTGATCTTATCATCCCTTATATTATTATTTGTTTTCGGTCTTCCGCTTAACTCATTTATTTCTGCTAATTCAGCCTACAATGCGCTGCGACACCCGAATGTTGACGCAGAGTAGAGCAAGATCAGAGCAGGAGTCCTGTCAGTTCACCTCTTCTGAAGTTTCGCCACCTCGGACACAATGACAGCAGAACTGGACGCCTACTCTTGCATGTAGAATTGTGGATAGATATAGGTTCAGAAAACTCAGCAGCCCTCGTGCTTCTTCTGCTAGCTAAACTTGCTCCGATCTCCTGACAGGACAGGGGGAACCCTTGTCTGTCTGTCTGTTTTGGTGCCGCGTTCCTTTTGGATGATGGACGTATTTTGCATAAATGGAACACGCAGTGGTTCTTGCGGTGTGATAATGATCCTGTGATTCTCTTAGATGACGCATTTCGGTTATACTGCAGCTGGTTCTTCCATTGAGCTGCCGATATTGTTTTTCGTTGCGCCCGGTTTCATCTCGTGTTTCCAGTTTTTTTTTTTTGAGATGTGGTGTTTCCAGTTTCCGGCAATGAGTCGATGATCCTCGAACTTTTTCAGTTTCTTTTAGGCTACGCATTCGGCGTAAATGAAAAATGTAGTGGGTTCTTCCTGGGAGCTGGTGATCGTGTTTTCAGTTGAGCTGTTTTTAGTGTCTCGTGTGTTGTTTTGATGCCGAGCACCTGAATTCTGAACGAGGACAAAGATGTCACCTGAATTTTCTATCTGGATGAACATAGGAGACTGAATTCAGGTGCAACTGTATGAGACTGTACATAGGAGACTGTACAGCTAACTAAACTGATCACCCCACGTATGCATATTCAAGAAAGAAACTGTCCGCGAGTATGGCTGTGTTATCGGCGGGGTAGACCTTACAGGCGTGCTACATACCGAGTCCATATGATGCTAGACCTTAGGGACCCGCACCCAGTCGGCCGGCCTTTTCCTTGTCGGTGGAACCTGGTTGGTCTCGCGTGTCTCGGCGTTGGGTCTCTGGCAAGGTTCCTTTTCCCTCGCCGGCATGTGGTGTCTTGGGGTCGGTGCCAGGGCGCTGCTCATCTCTAGGGGAGGTGGATCCCCCCTCCTTCCCATCCCAAGGGTTG